CGTTGGTGCAAAAATGCCCCGTCCAGCCCACCTGCAGTCTCCCCATCGGACGCCTTCCATCGACCGGCAAAATGTCTGGATTGTGCAAGACGCAATGAGGAACAACAACCAAAAATAAAATAAAATTTCGCTCATTTTTTTTACCCCTCTCGTTGCCGCCTCCCCCGTGTGGGCAGCGGTGGAAGGCGCGTGGGGGCGTTACGAGTGGCGGCGGGGTTCATGAGCCGCACAGAAGGCACACAACTCCCCCTCCCCACACACATCGCTGCTGTTATCATCGTTAATGTTACCTGTTATGAGTGTCCCTGCGTCATGCCGCAGCTCATCATAATCTTCCGCACCGCACCTCCCCCTCCGCTGGACGTTGCGCTGTGTCTACCACACAGTCGCACATGAGGTGCAAAACAACAATAGTGGCACCATCCACTGCCGTAATACACACATATATATATATATATATATCACTGCAGGAGGAGATGTTCCAAGCGGTATGATGATAAAACAAAACAATAATAACAACAACAAAAAAAAAAAAAAGGAGGCAAAGGCTGCAATCACCGTTCACAGTTGCTAATATATCGTTGATGCCCGCGCGTGTGTAGTCTCATTATTGCCCAACGCAGTCGTTTTCTGGCGCACAGTAAAGAAGAAAGAAAAAAAAAAAAAACAAGCCTTCAAACGGCAAAGAAACAAACAAACAAACACGAAAAGAAGAAAAGAGTATACAGCAAAGGAAGAGGCCTTAACGGCTCCACCCCTCCACCCCTGCTCCCTTCAACCCGATGCATTACAATATATCGCTGCGTAGCAACAGACAAAAAGATCAAAGGCATCAGTAAAAGTAAGAAGAAAAAAGAAAAAAAAAAGAGTTGGTGGTGGTCGCAGTAAAAACAGCGCTAAATTTCGTAGAAACACAACAAACAATTAAAAAGCACACACACACATGAAAAGAAAAGAAAAAAAGCAAATAAAATTGCATCCCCCCTTCTCTCACGTTTTCTACCAAAGCCCACCCGGACCGCGAATAGGCAAAGCACCAAAAAATAAAATAAAATAAAATTGCGTCCTGTTTCTTTGTTTTCTTTTTTCTTTTTTCTTTCTTCCTTTTGTGCTATAATAAATCGCCTGCTAAAGACCCCCTCCTCCCCAGAAACCTTTTTTCCTGTTCGTTTCACTTGTCTCTTTTCCGTTATTTTCCTCCCCTCCCCTCCCTCGCCCCTCCCCCGTATACACAACACGGAAGGCGAAGGGGGCACCAAGAGCCGCCGCACCCACGCGGGAGAAAAAGAAGAGGCGGGCGACACAGCCATGGGACGAGTCCCCAAAAATAAAACAACAACAAAAATCAAAAATCAAAGAAAAGAAAAAAAAGAAAAAAAAAAGACGGAAGATCGTCTTGCCACCAATAACCGAGCGGATACGAAAAGCCCACGTGTGGCGTGGAGCGGACAGACGGAGTGAAATACAGTCCTTGGACCTCATCTCGCCGTGCGCACCCGCCGCAGCATCCTCTCATGCGTCGTCTCTTCCCCACCCTCCAGTCCCCGGCCGCCCCACCGTTTTATTAACCGTGCGGGGTCAACGAGGGACGGGAGAGGCGAAGGCCGTAAAACGCATTTGGCGCAAAAGAAAAAAAAAAAAAAAACATCGCGTGAATAAATGGGAATCGAAGAAAATAAATAAAATAAGAACCAAAGAAACAGCCACAAGAGCACCAAAGGCACCCTCGCCCGAAAAAAAAAAAAAAAAAAATTCCCTTCCTGCCCCAAATGAAAAAAAACAACAACATAAATAAAGCTTCTTCGCGGGCTTTCGTTTTTGACCATAAATAATTCGTTTCCCGCGAAGGATAAAATATTAAAGTCAAGAAAAAGGAATCATCAGCATGAGGTCACGAATAAATCAATGGTGTTGCTACTCAGGAGTGAATTCCACACAAGCCGGTATAAACAAACGTCTTCTTTTCTTTTTTTCTTCATTGCTTTTTATTTTTATTTTATTTTATTTTATTTTTTCCGTTGGATTATCCATCTCATCTGTTTCTCTTTTTTGTCCAAAAGGTGTAATTTTTTTTTTTTTTTCCTCCCTTCCTTGCATCCTCTCAGTGTCGTCTCATATTCTGGAATACGCCTCTATTAACTCTTCCTCTCTTTATTCCTTCCTTCCTTTTTCCTGCCGTCGGAGAGGCTGCGTAAAGTTGAAAAGAAAAGAAAAGAAAAAAGGGAATGATTTGTGGCGGTGGGTGCGGTGGGAAAGGCGCGTGGTTGGGAATCGAGAACCGGGTGTTGTAACAAAGGCCCTCGCGCTATATTTTTATTTTTATTTATTTATAGATATAGATAGATATATACGTGCATGCATGCATGACATGCCAAGTCTCTTTTTAATTCATGGAGAAGCATTGCTGACCGACGGTAACGATAAATATATGAGACTTTAACTAAAAAAAAAAAAGGGAAGGGGGGGGGGGGGAGGGCGGTGGGGGGAAAACAAAAACAAAAACAAAAAACACAACAACAACAAACAGAACGATTAATTTTTCTCTCGTCCTTCTCCCCCCCAGTTATACTCATCAACGCATACATGCGTTGTAATAATTGGCCTCTCTATCTCTCTTCTCTATCCGGTAATGTCCTTTGCTCGTCGCTCGTCGCCCCCCTCCCATTTCCATTCCCTTCTCCCCACTTCTGCGCAAAGATGGGAAAAGAAGCAAATTGTTTTGAATGCATGCAAAAATAAAACAAAAACGGAGCATTTCCAACAACACAATGAATGTAATAAGCCAAAAACTGTGGCAATCAAAAACAATTGAAGTTATATACATATATGTTTCTGTATTTTCTGTATATATCCATATGTATATATATGTACACATGCCTCACGCACACGCAGAATTTTTGGAAGATGGTAAATACAACAAGAAATAATAAACAAGTTGAGCACACGCACACACACACAAAAAAGCATCACCACCAAGAAAGAAATAAAAAAATTTTTTTTCCCTTTTTTAAAGAGATTAAATGTGAGAATGCGCACATTTGCGTGTGTGGGCTGAACTCATGAAAGGGACACAAACACACACACACAAAAAAAAAAAAAAAATAACCGAAAGAAAGAAGAAGAAGAAGAAAAAAAGTTCTTGGTGGGTGAACCACTGCGAATTCAATTCCCGCCCCCTTTTGTTGTTGTTGTTGTTGTTGTTGTTTTTGTGTTGCCCGTTCACGTCGTCATTCATTTAAATTGAAGCACCAGACACACCCACACGCGCAGAGGCAACGTACCCGGTCACAGACTCCTAGCATTGCCACCACTCCCTTCAGTTCCATGTCGCGTTGCACGCATCTCGATGGTAGCAAAAAGTATCACGTGTATGTATCTGCACATTGACACAAAAATATGCATGTGCATCCCCTTCTCGTCCCCAAAGAGAAGAGAAGAGAAAATAAAAACATGGCGCCCCCCCCCCCCACATACACACCCAACAGTCTCCTCATCCCATTCCACAACGCCCACTTTCTCCACGCGCCCAGAGAGCAGCGAAAACACCACCGCAGCAAACCCAAAAAAAAAAAAAAAATCAAAAAGAAAATAGAAAAAGCACCCAATAAAAAGAACAACAACAACTAAAAATAAATAAATAAATGCAGCGTTCACTCATCCACATTCCGTTTCTATCACTCCCTTTCTGTTTTTTTTTTATTGTTTTTTTTATGTTCATTTCTATTTTATTTTATTTTAGTTTATTGAATTCACAACCGCCAGGAATAGAAAAAAAAAAAGTGGTTTCGTAGCCGCCCCGTTGCACGTATCCCTTCCCTTATTGAGAAGGCTCGTTACCATTAAGCCACACAGTCATGGGACGTCCGTTCACGTATACGCGCTTGCACCGGACATGCGTTACTGAAGTAGATGTTGTCGTTGTCGTTGCTGCCGCAGAAGAACCAGAAGTATTTGTTTGAGGTGATTGGTGCACAGCATTGGTACGGGTATTCGGAATCTCCAGACGCCTTGCTGTGGCGTGGGTTGACGACAATGTCAACTCCGTGCTGATGGGATTGGTGCTCATAACAGTGGGTGTTGTAGGAGCAGTAGCAGCACCAGCAGCCTTGACGAATGGTGGGGAGCGATAAGCGGATTGTTTGATTGTGCTGCTGCGAGGAGCAGGTGGAAAAACACCCTTCTTCATAGGACCCTGCAAAGCACTGCAGCTGCTTTTCGCCACCGTTGCCATCATGCGTGGCTCGTTGGATGTCGACATCAACGTATTGAAGCTTTTCGTGTCTTCCTCCTTGTACGACATCAGAAATCTCACCTCCGCGGAAAGGGGAGACGTGGGGACGCAGGGAGAACCGTCCACCGATGTACGCGTGTACGGGTTATTGGTATGTTTTATCGGGAAGACAAATCTCTGGGATTCTGACGCGGCATATGTCGTTTCCTTCACAATTCCCGCCGATGCTACAGCGTTGACGCTCTTTACCGTTGTGAAATGGGGCGCACCGTTTTGAATATTATCCGAGTTGTGGATAGCGCTCGTACAATCCATGAGTGGGGAAGAAAAGGAAGCAGCGGCACCGCCCCTCGGGTAGACGTACGAGTCCAGAGACAACATGACTTATTTCTTTAGATGGCTTAATTTTTTTTTTTTTTTTTACTGCAGTCAGTTGAAATATGTTCGTTAACAAAAAATAATAAAAATAACAATAAAAACAACACCAAACACACACAAAATAAAGGAAGATTATTATTATGATTATTATTGCTTTTATTATCAGAGACAAAAAACAACAACCAACAAAAATATGCAAACATATCATTAAGTGAGGGTCAAAACCCAATTCGCCTTCAATATCCTCGTCCTCATCGTCCATTTACATCGCATACACGCAGGGAAAAAGGAAAAAAAAAAAAAAAAAAAGAAAAAAAAGGAGAAATTGTGTGAAAGAGAGAAATATTCTCCCGTATACCAGCGAGATCCCACGGGGAAATACGCCCCGTCGCTACTTTTTTTGCTTCTTTCCTTCAACGTCAATCGAGCGGTTTAGTGTGGATCCTTCTTCACCGAAGTCTTGTCCTTCCTTTCTGTCAAACATCATTCGTGTGATACGACTTACACCGGCCGTCAAAACCCCAGAGAAGAACACACCCAATGAGATGACATTGAACACCATCGCCGGATCAGGGGTAGGGATGGTGGTGCCAGCAACATTGCTACATCGGAGCCAATAGTAGCAGAAACAAGAAGAGCCAATTTCACTCCGAGAATGATTCCGAAAAAGGGAGTCCGTGAGGCGCTCTAACGACGCCTGGTGATCAATTTGCATTGAAGCAAAAGAAGCACATTGAGAAGCCAGGCAACGCTCAGACCAACGCTTATTCCCATTATTATTGGCGGAATGAGGGCCGGCAAATTTTTTAAGTTCAGTTTTTCCAAATCGTCGACCAACGCGAATGACTGGCTGTGGGAGAATTCGATGGCTGTTCGCATCATGAGGCATGTCTTTCAGTGCAGCCCAACCAAACCTAAATGGAAATTCACAAACAACAAAACCATACGGAGCTGTGCCGTTGTTATTGTCACTTCTATGAAGCGAGTTTACATGAGTTTCCGTAAGTACAGTTTTCAATAATACCAAAAGAGCATTGGCATTGTCGTCAAAAAACGCGTTCTCTAAAATTGTCGATCCGTCTGGGCCCGAGTGCATTTCATAAAGAGATGGACGAATCACATGGAGAGGGAAAATAAGCAACGAATCCAATGTATCCCCCACCCTCAATCCATTCCATCGGCCCGGTTCGTGGTGCTCATCGGCACTTATTGTGTTCGTTCTTCTCATCGGCGGATGTATAACCAGTCGATATGTTCCGCGGTCGTGTCCCACGCTGGAGATGTAATAATGAGCTGTGGGTGCCAGCTCCGAGCTGAAGCTTCGCTTCTCGTCCTTCAAGGCCTCTTTGTCTCCAGAGACGCCCTCAACATGAGAGGAAGACGGCAGTGATCGTATGGCGTCCTGAAATTTTTTATTCACATTGGGCCCATAAAAGAAGATGAGACGATCGGAATATGTGGGAAGCGACCGTTTCCAATGATTTGCAAGTAAATCAAAGTCGCCCTTTCGAGCAACAAACGCCATGCGAAAAAGGAGTTGGATCTCCGTCTCTTCATTCATGTTTTCCGCTGGCAGTTCCGACTGTGACACGCCAAAATTAAAGTGATGGAAAGAAGAGGAAAAAAAATCCTGCATTGTGACCAACCCTGCCCGGAAGATGCCCTTTGGAATTTTTTCCTCAACACCTTTTCCGCTGCGTCCTCCGCTAAGAATGGCGCTAACGTGTTGTGTGCACACCGTGTCACGTTGGGCGAGATGATAAGAGCACCAATGACGGGTCCCCAAACCAGCCGCAGCACCAAAACGGCCAGTGACTGGGTGAAGTACACCGACAGGACGTATAT